TTTAGCAGTTATCTGGATCATTCAATGTAGTTAAATACCCTCTTAATTTAGAAAATTAGTATACCTAACTAGTATTTTCATAAAAGAACTCAGATCTTGTATAACCAAACAGATATATTTTTTAATCGATTGATCAGCTGGTAATATATGAGGAGACAAGCTGCTTATACAAGAATTAGTTGATTATCGTTTTCTTTAACTTACCGTTATCAAATGACAATTCATCATAGTACAGTTTATTATCCTACATATAAATCATCATTGCTGATTAACCATCATCTGTTCCTTTCATTTCAAAATATCTGTTAATGCTTTGCAAGAAATATTATCTGCCTTAACAAATATATAATTGTAGCTAGTACTAGTAATTATAGTCAATTGTAATAAGAAAAACTGAGTTATATTATTTGTTAAGGTTGATCTCATCACATCATGGAAAATAATGATGTAATCTTATTTTTGAAACCCAATCAATAATAGTCCATCATTTTCCATAACTTAGTCATCAAAGTTGATTCTTAAAGAACCTGGATTCCTCATCTAATCATTTAAATTAGCATCAAACTCACCACCTATAAAAAGGGTATCTTCGAAATATTTCATCAATACTGCTCTAAATCGATATGCTTTTAAGTTTTTTGAGCGAATGATCGAATTTGATTGATAAAGCTAAGTTGCAGTATTAAATGTAATTTTATCAATTTAGAACAATCTATAGAATAAGCTTCCATCTGTAATGTTTGGTACTGTAATATGATATATTTGACCATTTTCGGTGGCAAAAAATGAAAATTTAGATAGGGAGTTACTTTAATTGAAGTATAAATTTTGAGGTTCCAAATATTAAGGAACTTAACCGAATCTATTTGTAATAGCGATTGTATAATACTAATTGGGAGTATTTATCATCATGTATACTAAGCTAGTAAGAGGATCAGTTGTTTCTTAATATTAGATTTATACCACATGCCCGCTTAAATCTGAAATTGTGTAAATCCAGGCTATTGATGAATCTGAATTAATCATTCCATATATTGGCTTATCCGCATTACTTTATCGATTGGCAATATCATCCTGTGTAGCACCTCCAAAGTACAACTGTTATAAGATTTATCTAATAAAATAGAACAAATTACCTCGCCGTTGGAAGTTGTATATATTGTTTTTATAGCTGTGTACTCATTAAACCTAAAAATCATAGGATATCTATCTTAAAAGCAGTCAATTTGCTAAGCATTAGCGATGAAATGATTAATCAAACAAGCATAGATAAGTTGCGAAATTATCCTTGATCTAATATTATCTTTCATTTTATTTAAATGTATAAAATATATGTTGAATTGTTAGAAGAAAATTTTAAACTGAAAAAGAATATTAAAAATTAGGATGAGCATTTGTATTATTATTTTAATCTATTTTAATATTGATCTAACATTTTATCGATTCTATAATTTTTTCTTGAGGGGTTTTGGGGTTTTGGGG